GCTCTTAGGCTCGACAAAATTTTATGCTCTATACAGATGCCAGTAATTCGCTCAAACGAAGCACCCATTCATCGCATACGTTGCCTTGTTTTATAGTACTTCGGATTTCTGGCGTTTTTGTTGGTAATATAACATTGCAGTCTGAAGTTTTGGGTAGGGTGTCTGTCTTTGTTACTCTTTATTGTTGTTCGTAACTTCATCCTGCTCTTTCTGCCCAATTAAATTCACAGTGATAATGCCTCGTGTTTTTGTTTGTCTTTTGTAGATATGTTTTCCTGATAAAGGTGTTGTGGATGATATTATCAGTTGGCAAGTAGTATTTTGTTACATACATATATATGCCATAAAAAAGAATAACATACTTCATGATATAAAAATTAAAGGTAGATAATAAATATATAGACTTTTTGGTTACAGATACTTTTTTAATTTTAGGGAATACACATAGAACCTAGGTGTATTACCTAAGATTATGCTTCACATGCGATTGCAAAACTAAGAAAATGTATCGTTCAATCTATAATATAAAAATGAATCTCAAAATGTATTGGTAACTCAACGACGCCTGGACCAATTTGGCCAATTCTTTTCTTAAGATACAGTTGAAGTCCAAGGATGATTGCCGGGAAAAACCTAAAAATAGCCCTTTTCTTTTTCACATACAAACGTTTTCTAACTAAAACGTAGAATCAATTTGAGTTTTATTGCTAATATAAAGTTCACACTAAATAACAAGCACTCACTGTTATCTAAGAAATGTAGGTGTTTTCCTAACGTGAAAAAATAAATTAGCACTTTTTTACCGCTATACAAAGTTCAAATTCAATCATATTTATCGAAACAGTGTGTGTTATATTAATTTAACAAAATAATTAAATAAAACATCTTATAGTGTTTTTTTTATTCACACCTAATTATTACCAGGGTGACACGGTTCGGTGATTCAGGATATTTTTTTGCTAAGAATAATATACCTATATACAGGTAGGAACAAACACTGCCACATTACAATTTTGTTTGACAAGACGAAGTCTGTCGGTTCAGCTAGTTCAATATAAAACAAACTAATAGCTATCACCAAGCTAAACCCACAACACAAAGCATTCAACAGACAAAACGTTATGTCTTTTTTGTGGTGTGGCCACATGATAGCTCGGTGGGCCACAAGCCACAAGCTACGGTCCGGTGTTGTGAACATAAAAACTCAGCGAGTTGTATATTAAAACCAACGAGCTGCATTTGAAATAGAAATAAAATGTTCCTACAGTGAAACTGTGAGTGCATTTTTTTATATACATAGATAGTTACTATCGTGAGACATATAAAATTATTGATAACTAGCGACCCACTCTAGCATCGCACAGGTGCAATAGCGCTATTTATTGGATATTATTATACATATAACCATTCCTCTTTAATCACTCTATCTATGAAAAAAAACCGTTGCAAAGTTTTAAAGATTTAAGCATATACCTAGTATAGCCATAAATACTGTAACAAATAAAAAAAATATTTTTTCTATTGCAAATAACATTTATTACTTTTACAGTATGTAGGTAAGATTAATACATAAATATAAAACAATTTAAAACATAAAAAGATTATTCGAAGTGGTATCCATTGGCTGCAATACAGTCCTTTAAACGTTGAGGCCAGTTATGTTATGTTATGTATAGGAGAGGAAACGATTTTGTTTTATACTTTGCTATGATAAAGGCATACTCACGTAATATAACTAAGAAAAACTCAACTAGTTTCAAATCAAAACCAGTCGACTTAGTTGCCGCGACGCTTACCCCGTTCATGTTAAGAGTCCCGCTATTAGTTAGACACTCGTAGTATTGACGTCACTACAAATGCGTTACCGGCCACTTGTAGGTTATTCGGGATTTATGGATAGGGGATTTGATGATTGAGGATAGGGGGAGAAGAATTATGTAGGTTACCGGTAACCTCACTCACACTCACACGGTGAAACACGACGGTGTGGTTGTTGCCCGAGCGTACGGCGCGTAGCGTTCCGCGCGCGCCTCAAAGAGCCAATAGACCACCACAGACGAGGCCCTATAGGGCTGATGTTCAGCCTGGGTTGCGGGGTAAGCGCAATGAGGCACCGCGACCTCGGCCCAGAGCAGGAGAAGGAACAGGGGGTTTTTAGTCAGTAAGAGTCTGACAATTCCTCCCGTCCGGCCCTGGGCGGGAGAAGTCATTTGATGATTAACACTTCACAAAAAAAAAAAAATTAGTTGTTTCACGCCGGTTTTCTGTGAGGTTGTGGTATCCGGAACGCGTGGGAGACGCCATGCTTCGGCACGAATGGGTCGGCCATTCGTGCCGAAGCATGGCGTCTCCCACAAAATAGTTTATCCGGACCTTTGAAAAATCTAAAGCTGGCCCTAAAGATTTTTATAAGATAGATATAGAAAGAAGAAATAGGTACCAAAGATTAACTAATTCAAATTATCCTTTGCTAGTCTTGAAGTAACGTAATTATCAATGAAGATATCAAAATGGTTCCTTTAAGAAAATCGCAATTTAATATTAAATAAATCAGATAAATGTGAAACTTAATCAAAGGAACGTTTACTTTGCTTTATCTCGTTTTAGTTAATTTTATTGCGATCTTGTTTCGCTTTTTGTGGCGAATTGTCGTAAGAAATATGATAAATTGAAGCCGTGTTTTAAATGTTTATTTACGAATATAGGCATTTATGTAGGGTTTTCTTTGGGATATGAGGAAAGGTATTTTTAAAGGTTTTTTTTTATTTTTAGATTACAAAATAAAAAAAACTAAATATGCTTAAATTAAAATAAATTTCATTTAAAAAGGCGTGTACAACAAATAATCTTACGCCTAAGTTATGCATAAAATCGGAACCACCATTTTATTGGTCACACAAAGAATTTTTCCGTGTCGGAATCGAAGCTTTTTTACTGCAGTCGAGCCACTGCGGTAGTAGTGCGGTCTTAAAGTTCCCAAACCTTCGCTTTTAATTAAATAGTACCATGGGCTTCGTGCGTTGGACACTATTTATTCATTGGCATGCCACCTACAGTATTATAGTAAACAATATTATCATAAGGAAAACCCAATCATCAACTATAAAAAGTCTATATAAAAATACTTACTTCCACCCGCGTCTTCACACACGTATAAAATTATAAACGTATTCTGGGATTTCATTGATCAGCGTTTACAGCGATAGCTCGACTACAATACTCAAATCAAGTATAATTTATAGCCTATAAGCACTAAAAAACATGAAAATCCGACCAGAGCGGTTACAAAGATTACCGCTACATAAAAACTTAAAAATTTTACCTCTTTATTACGAGTATATTAGTATAGATTCTCACGTGCCGTGGTGGCCCGAAGGTTAAGGAGCCCGCTTCTCATGCATGAGGTTGTGGGTTCGAAACCTGGCAAGTACCATTGTGACTTTTTCCGAGTTACATGTACTTTCTATGATTATTTAGACACCACTGACATACGGTGAAGGTAAACATCATGAGGAAACCTGAACTTATAATTTCTAATTATAAGTTTGAAATCGCCAACCCGCATTGAGCGAGCGTGGTGATTAATGCTTCAAACCTTCTCCGTGTGAGAAGAGGCCTTTGCTCAGCAGTGGGCACTTATGGGCTGATTAGTATAGATACACTTTTTATAGATATATTTTCTAATGTAACAATGTCTAATAATAAATTTATTGTCAAGTACAGAGCCTTCAGTTATTAAGAAACGTTATAACATTAACGATGATGAGATGAGAAAGAACATTAAATGTCGCGTCGCAATTAATTATTTAGGCGTCCTAATTACGAATGTGACAGGTATAATCTTTGTCGCCTGTCTTGTGATATTAGGTTCTGTTGGACAAGATAAGTATGGACAAGAAAAGCCTAAGTCATAACAAATAATCGGCAAGAAATAAATTATATCTGTCTAGATAATATTATATCATGGTCGTGATGCAAAAACCTTACACGTTGGCGAGTTACTATTTTCTAAGATTTCACTTTTTGAGACGGAAAATTCAGCAAACAACTTTTCTCGATCAGGGCGACAAGAGGGAATGCCAGTCTATTCCTGACTAAAAACCACCCGTTTTTTCTGCTCCAGGCCAAGGCCGCAGGATATTATTGCACTTAAACCGCAACCCGGTGGAACATCGGCCCTCTTTGGCCTCGTCTGTTATGGTGTTGGCTATTTGAGACACGCGTAAAACGCTACGCATTGTGAATAAACCTGGATTTATGATTTCCAGCTTATGGTTCCAATCCGCCTTGAGCAAACGTGGTGACTAATGTTTAAACTTTCTATTTGTTCGCAGATACCTTTTTCTAAGCAGATCACGTAGGATGTGATGTAATAAAAATAATTAGGTTATATTACTTGAAACAACGTGCCTCCAATCCTTCCCCTCAGTCCTTCCCCTGTCAGATGTCACCTGCTAAACAAGCGTCTTCCAATGAAAAATAAAGATAAAAAAAAGGTTTTCTATAAAAATAACAGTAATAAGAACGAAACTTCTATCATACAATTTCAAAATCACAAGTAATTATAGAAATTATTATAGAAAAGTCATTGTGCAGTACATACTTAATTGTAAGAAATGGAATTACCAGTATTTTAATTCTTTCTACTTAGAATTCTGAGAAAATTGCAAGGAGCTAATTAATTACTTATCGGTTAATTTTATGTCTGCTCTCTTTGACATTGAAAACTATTTTCAATAAGTTATTAACTATTCTATGATACCTGGGTATAATAAGAATTTCCTTGGAAGTTTACTGATTTTCTTTATTGGTTATTAATAAATGTAGTTATGGAAATATTGATGTCCGCCTTATTGCTTGGAAGAGCACGTTACCACATTTCGATGTTGGCCTTATTTATTACCTTATAAACTATGTAAACCAAGTAATATATTGTGATCGGCTGACGACGTCCGACCGCTGTGGACGGCGAGCAAGAGTAGCCGGTTCCAACAGCCAACTTAATACAGATGGGGCCCAAAAGGACCAGTGTTCAGTCCAGGTTGCATGTCAAGCACAATAAGGTACTCCAGCTTTGGCCTGGCCAGGAGAAGTAAAGAGGTTGTTTTTAGTCAGTGTCTAATAGTAAATATAATAGGCAAAATAAGTCATATCAATACAATACAATTCCATTGTACCCTTACTCTGAAAACGAAAACAAAATTTAAATGTGCACCTCTATATAATGCTCGATTACACATTCAGAAATAAATTTTCCATTAGACGGCACAAAGAAGGCGTCACACCGGACGGACAGGTAAATAGGCGTTTGAGCCGCAGTAGAAAATCGGCGTCTTCCCCCATTCGGCCTCAATAATGGCCTGGACGTACGAAATGTGGCCTCCGAATGTACCAATTTACCCTTTCAATAGCCGGCCGGGTATCTCAGGGTAAAAGAGGCCATTCAATACCTAGTGTACCAGGAAGGACGCGTTATTTTTAAATGAAATGCTAAGGTAACGCCTACGGATTTTTATGTTGACCGTGACATCGCACGGATTTCATTGAGTTGGTAATAACCGTTTTATCATGGTTGTTTTTGAGATGTTTTGCTGTTTCACCAAGGAGAGTGTTATTAATAGATTTGGTGGTAAAATGAATCGTTGTTGTTGAAAAATGTCTGTAGGTTGAGTACGATATTATAAACGCCAAAAGTTTGGATCAATATTTGTTACTCTTTTACGTTAAAGCTACAGAATGGATTTTAATGAAAATTAACACACGGTCTGCACTTCTTGCTAAAGTACGATATACAATATTTAAACATAAATAAAATTCGCACAAAACAACTGCATCCATCATCAAATGCCACGTAAATGGTCGTAATTTATCAAAAGCATTAATTAAATTTAAAATTAAGTATTTATCACAAACGATCCTATACTTTACGTACAAAAATCACGGTTAATACCCAGTAATATTTAATAACAAACACGATATAACTGTTCAAAATTAAACGGCACACAGTAAGGGTTACTCGGCCAACGCCGGGTGCGACTAAAAGCCTGTCAGGGTCACTTTAGCAACCTACTCATCGAGGCTTTGCATACCATTTACGTAAAACTACATCACTAACTATCGACAAACATATATTCCATCTCTAAAACCTCAGTACATTGCTCCCTGACTTCGCCAAACAACAACGTGTATATAAGTAAAACTTCAATGTATTTTGCGCGCCTCGTAAACTTCGGCCTTTGTATGCTCTTCGTGTGTTGTTAGTCTTTAAGCTTTCTTCGCATGAATATTATTTTGAGTACGGCGACCCGACATTTGTAACATCTGTTGCTGGTGAATTTTATATTCTATGGCACGATATTAAAAACTATTACGCTGCCAAGGTATCTTTTGTAAACTCTACGCAAGTTTAACTTGAAAAATTACTCAAAAAAATTAATATTCTTCGCCAATATTTTGCTTGTTTTAAAATCTTGTTTGCAAAATATTATTCAAAAAATAATGAAACAATATTGGTTCCAACGATGTGTCTGACTAACAACTGACTTACGAAAAATTAAGCTGGTAAAATTTTAGGTTGTTCTGAAAAATATTTATGATAATGTCGGTCGGGAGTTAATAATTATGTGCAGGTATTTGTGAAGGGCAGAAAATAATATCAGAATTTTTTGGTATATATTTAAAATATTAGACATCTTACTTCTTACTAATATTATAAACGCGAAAGTTACGATGTTTGGGTGTTTATTACTTAATAACGCCAAAACCACTGGACAGATCTGGATGAAATTTGCCACAGGCGGAATAGGTTCGTTTTACAATAACTTGATAATTACTTCTTTAGTCTAATGAACTGTTACCAAAAATCAAAGAGAAAAAATAATAACAAAAGTTTCACCAACGAAATAAAAATCGTTAGGTCCAAAATTCAAGAACAGTTCCTATTCTGAGAACAAAATTAATTCGACAGAAAGAAAACTTTCTTTCATTAAATTGTTTCAATTCTAACCTAAAAAATGAAGCAACAAAAAGCAAAAAGGTTCATTGTCGGCGAAGATTCGCAACTAATTACATTACTAGTTTTTATCGTAGCACTTTTAATTAAGCAAGTTAAACGTTAAATAAAAGGTGGACAGATGATACTAATTAAAATTCCCGCAACGTGGCGTTGCGGGAATTTTCACACAGCTCCATTATTGTCCTATAATATTTTTGGCCGTCTAATCTATATACATTATCTATTAGCCAAATATAATCATTAGAAGTGAATACATTGTTACCGGTTGACCTAATAAAAAACATATTTAAGTACAAGAATAATGCTCACAAAACGCTTACACGACGTATAAAAACCGCAACTTCACAGTAATAAAAAGCCAAAGGAAAAATCTTAAGTATTAATAGAATATTCTTCTATCTTTCACAATGAACGAATAGTCGATTGAAACTTTAAATATTTGGGAATATTCGTGTTACACAAAAATAGTGACAATTTTTTTAAAAAGAAATAGATTTGGAAAATGGAGGCATATTTTAAGAGATTAATGCTTACATGAATTACAGAAGTTTTCGTTTTTCGTTCGGGGTTGCGGGGTAAGCATCAAGGCAGGTGAAGGAACGGGAAGTCAGTAAGTCTTACAGGCTCTCTCGTCTCGACCTGGACGAAAGAAGTCGTTTGATGGTTTTCCCTTCACAAAACAGGCATAGGTAAATATCCTAATCCTCTCATCCCCTATAACATAAGAAGACAATATTTTTAGAGAACACATGTTAGTTCCATTAAACTAATTAATATTTTTATTAAAAAAAATCATTCACCTGTCTCACCTAGGCAGACGTTTAGGAAAACTCGAAATTCAAGTAAAAATCTTAACTTGTTTAGCAAAGCTGTAATTGCGAGGACTGCCAAGATAAGCTCGTTTCTTTTTAATTTTCCTTCTTGAAATTACTTCAATTCCCGCCTTGAATAAATGAAGACTGCACAACCTACTTTAGACGGTTTTTTTTTAATTTGTTTTATTACCATGAACCAGATCTGTGTAAAGTTCTCGAGAGCTTTTAGTTGCAGGTTTGATTAACTAGCCTTAAGACGGTTAAGAAAAATATCTGGCTAAGTGCTGCTGTGGAAACTTGGACAGTGCTTGTGAAACGTTTTAAAGGAGATAACTTTTTGTGTTACATTTTTAAGTGTAGGAGGGCCGGCTTTCGGCATTACCGTGATACGGGATATGTGATACAAAACGGCGTGATACAACTACAGAATTGTGCATCGCCGTGTGAGAGAGGGTCCAATCCTTCCCCTCCCCTGAAATCATGGTGTATTATTAAGTCCTCATCTTTCTTTTTTTCTTTTTTCACACTGATATTTAATTTGCATCATTGAAAAACCAAATATTAATTTCTCCTTATATGAAATCGACTTGAACCGTATACAGAGCTGTGAAAATTCCCTATTCATAAATATGTACGTATAAAGGTCAAATATATATGTTGCTTATAACTTTTGTCTGCTGTTACAAGACAAAAAAATAAAATTAATATTTCTAGCGTCTTTCAAAATGCAGTATGTTTTTAATATAAGATATCGATTTTCTTCGAATTAAAAAGTAACACCTGTGGTGCTGGCCGTCTGTTTATCATTAATATTCCAAAGCAAATTGAAATGTTAACATGGAATCCTATAGAAAACATTTGTTTGTTTCATTTTATCTTGAATATTAGGTATGATAAATTGCTCTGTTCGTGCAAATGAAACTATAATTATCATCAGCCCACACGGAGAAGGTTAGAGCATTAATCACCACGCTTGCTAAATGCGGGTTGGCGATTTCAAACTTATAATTAGAAATTATAAGTCCAGGTTTCCTCACGATGTTAACCTTCACCGAAATGAAACTATTGGATATCCAAAATAAAAATACATTCGTTACCCGTTTTATAAGTTTTGGATAGGTGTAACATCGGTTTTAGAAGGTTGGGGATTGTTTGGAAAAAAGGCGGAGTCGGAATTTAACGACAAGTTCAACTTGTAACATTATTTTTTATTTTACTTTATTTAAAAATATTCATATAGCATATACTTAGAAATTATTCTATTTGTTTATCCGTATCCAGAACCGAAATATCACAACCGTACATCCTTATTAACTTTCATCGCTATATACCTACATATATTATACAACGTCGCGTGTTTAGTCCCTATATCCCTATGTATGCTTAAATCGGCATGTTTAAAACGCATATTTTTATATCGTATCTACATAATAGAGTTTTTTTTTACATGAACATTGCAGCAGACTAGGATTTTTATTGTCCTGTGGCGTGGGTACAAACATGCAATTTCACATATGTACAAAGAGTTGTTCCGTGTGGGAATCGAACCCGCGACTCGTTGCGAGGCAGCCATTTGCCCAGCCACCGCGCCAACCGTGCAGTCAAGTTTTGGTTTGTATATGTGTGTGTTGTGGTTCTTCTAAGGAGGTAAACGACAAGGTGGAACTCCAAAAATATGTTCGCATTAAATTTTCAGTACCTATCTAATGATTGGTGAGTTCCGATTTTTTGAAGATCAATTTATTCTGTCACCGAAATGAATGATGTTACCGATTAAATGGCAAATAGCCAATTACAGAGCGTGATGGGACAGAGATTGACGGACTGATAATTAATTCATTTTTCATTTTTGTAATTTAAGAAAGTATTTTATTTTTAGGTTTAAATATCTTGAATTTATTTATTTTTTATATGAAGAAAGCGTTCACTGCACTAAGCTTTTGCAACATAAGTTTTTCCGACGTGGGTTTTATGCACTTAAAATACGATAACTCATAATTAAGATTCACTTTTGACAACCAAACTATTATTAAGTAGTATATATGTGTATATTAATACTTGCCAGGTGTCGAAGCTGCAGCTACGTTGTATGAGAAGCAGGCGCCTTAACCTAGGGGCAACTATGACAACGCCGCGTAACCCGCATGTTTAAAAACGTAAAAGGAGGTTGATATTGGTAGATATTTATAAAGCCATTTACGACAAAGAAAGTCAGGTACATATTTTTACTGCATTTTTTGAATAAACCTCCACATATGTGCTTGTGCTTCCTTGTGCATCAAACGGGGCTAGCAGAGATCCAGCTTGTATCAAGCCACTACAGTAGCAGTACTAAGACAATAGAGTACCAAAAAACAATTTTTTTTTGTCCATTCTTTAAATTTTTCAGAATTTTGTTAAGGTAATTTGATTTCTCCTTCATGTGTGAAATGTCGAAGTAATTAAATTCATGTCCGGGAGCTCATTATAACGGAACAATACGTTTCCTGTTAAAAGTAAAATGATATGGATAGGAACTGTTATTTTGGTGAAACAAATAAAATAATACAAAAGCGCCAACTTTTACAAACAAAACTTTATAGTTCGTTTTAAATGTAGTGAAACCTTTTTAGTGTACCTACATACATATTGTTATGTTTATTTAACTTTATTTTTTACACATTAGTGGTTGGTATATGCGAACGAAACGGTTGGAATGGGGTAGATATATTAGGATCACAGGTAGATATATTAGGATCACATTTTAACCTTATATAACCTTGTATAAGAACGTAATACGGGATTTTCCAAGTAGTCAAAATTTCAATAACGACACTTTTCTATAAATTTTGTATGAAACTGCTACATATGTAATATATAACGTAATATATAATAATAGTAATATATAATGTATAACGTCACAATATTTTAACGTCAAACAGCATACTTATTTTAAAAAAGTTCAATAGGAAACATCTAAAATTAAGTAAGTGTATCGTCAAATCAATGAGTGAAAGTAATAATTCGTTGTTATGTATTGAAAAGTTAAATTAATTTTGTAATAAACTACCATAATTATGTTTAATAGTAAAAATAATGGCTTGAATGTAAAACCAATGATATTTTCTTTTAATAAAAAGTTATCTACAAACAAAAACTTTCATACTATTATTATGTTATTCTCTAGTTTCATTTTCATTTTCCCTTCCGTAAAAGTCGGTATTTTCTCTCATTTACGTAGCGTAACCTATTACATGCTATCCAGCGTTTCTGGCTTGGAAGACAGGAAGCTATCAAAGAAAGCTGAGAAGTCAGAATCCGTGTCCCTATTGCTGACATAAAAACTATCTTTGTGCTTATTCCTGTACGGGTAGTAGGTATCTTCGTGCATATATTTTGTATGTTTCTGGCAATTTCCATCTCGCCACATATTTAGATCTGGTCCCTCTATGTGGGTGCATGGCACGGGCATGTTTCTGAAAGGAATAAACAATGCTAATCAGAGTTAAGTTGGTGAAAGTCTTAGTGGGGGAACCATGCTTGCTTTTGGGCTGGATCGACTTGAATGATGGCCCTCACAGGAAACTTGCGGTAAACTACGTTGTGTTTCATAGAGGCCTAATACACACCCTATCTCCTATGCCTATAACCCCATCTACATACCTAATCCTGAAAGTTTGCATTGCATTGTTACACTGTTGATTGCTTAACATCAGACAGTTCCTTTGCTTCTAAGAAATTTCCATTCAATAAAAAAAGCAAAACCTCCTTTCCATTTTAATATTATTTTGATATTCTGTAATCCCGGATCAACTACTTAGGCTATAATCTTATTATTTTGTTATGCTTGAGAGATTAGATTGTCCCAAAACAAATTTTTAATATGCCTCGTATAAATGTTATATTTATCAGATTCGTTGGCAAAATAAATATAAGCAATAGCAGTTTAATATAAAATATATAATTTGATGTACATACCCAGGCTTGACGTTGAGGAAAGCATTTGCCTGAATGTATTTGATACCCTCGGCGTTGTCGCAAGCTAGACGTGCCATACTAGTTCTCCTTATCTCCTCCAGTTGCTCTGTGAATTTCGTATCAATGGGAGGAAAATGTCAAAATGAACTTTAATTAATAAATCATATATCTTGTTGTAGAATAACTTGACGTGTTATTTCTTGAAAATGATTAGCTATAAGTTGGAAATAATACATGTATCGCTTATTCTTTACTAGTTATCAATCAATCAACCATTGCCATGTTCTATGGAGTTAGGTAACTTATTTCCATACACTACGTACGAATTTTAGATTCACTATAATCCACCTTATTATTGAATTAATATTGAATTATTAAATCAAATTTTTGCATGTCAATAATATAGTGAAAAAAGCTAACAAACCAAAGCTGATTTCTGCTGTTTCACATTGGAACATTTTCTGTAAGATATATGATTTTAGTCTCAGCCAGAAACTTACCCAAAGTAAAGCTGTGGAACTGGTCGCCTCTTTCAAACCAGAACCTGTCAGAGAATCTGAAGATCTGCAGCTGTTTCATCATGATGCAGAACAGCGTGGGGCCCACGTGGATACCTTGGAGATGGTTCTCTGACATTATACCAGCTAATAGGTCCACGTCATCGACATTTTCGTACAGTCTCTTTAGGGCTTCCACTTTCTAGAACAATAATAGTCAAATATACATCGATAATTCAAAATGTAAATCATAATCATCATCATCATCATCATCGGCCGGAAGACGTCCACTGTTGGACAAGGCCTCCCCATTAGCTCTCCACGTCGAACGACAAGTTGCCACCTGCATCCATTGGCTCCCCGCGACTCTGACGATGTCGTCGGTCCACCTAGCGGGAGGCCTGCCCACACTACGTTTTCAAATATTTTTTAAATATTCTATATTATATATTGGTAATTTAGTTTGTGGTTTAGACTAGTGATGATCTCGATTAAAAAATAAATGTTTAATAGTTTAAAAAATGTTTGATGATAAAAACGAAAATCCTACTTCTTACTAATATAATAAATGTCAAAGTTTGTGAGAATGTAGAAATGTACCCTGGTATACCACATAGGCTGATTTTTATCAACATACCACGCAGGCGAAGCCATGGGCGGAAGCTATAGTATTATATAAATACGTCAAAAACTCAAACATACATGACATGGGTACTTGAAAGAATGTGCACGAGAACTACATGAAAATTTCTACATCGAAATGTCTTCATCACATTAAAAAGTTAAGCAAAATTTAGTAGCATCGTTAACTATCACATAAACAGCTCCAAAATGCTCGTCTAAGAGTGAAGCAGTGCTTTAGTTAATGTTTAGTCTTAGTAATAAGATATTGCTGCAGACTTGATAAGCAACTTGATATAAGGGAATGCAATTTAATTAAAGAGGAAGCTTTAGTACGCCTTAGCGAAGACTAAGTAACGAAGCTGTAATCTTCAACAAGAGACAAAGAATAACTTTGAATTTCATTGTTATAATAATTTACATGTCGTGGTGACCCGAAGGTTACGGAGCCCGTTTCTCAGGCATGAGGCTTCGAAACCTGGCAAGTACCAATGTGACTTTTTCCGAGTTATATGTACTTTCTATGAAAATTAAGACACCACTGACATACGGTGAAGGTTAAGATCGTAGTTGACATCGTGAAGAAACCTGGACTTATAATTTCTAATTATAAGTTTGAAATCACCAACCCGCATTGAGCAAGCGTGGTGATTAATGCTCAAACAAAATGAGAAGAGGCCTTTGTTCAGCAGTGGGCACTTATAAGCTGATGATGATAATGTTATAATAATTTGGGCGATATCATTATTATTATCGAGATAATTTGAAGTGTGGGAGAGCCATGCGTCGGCACGAATGGGTCGGCTCGACCGGAGTGATACCACGGCCTCACAGAAGACCGGCGTGAAACAATTACAGCGTTGCGTTTCGCCGTGTGAGTGAGGTTACCGGAGGCCCCATACTTCCCCGCCCCCAATCCCTCCTCAATCCCTAAATCTCAAATCCCTAATCCCTAAAAGATCGCTAATGCACTCGTAACTCCTCCGTTACAGGTGTCCATGGGCGGCGCTGATTGTTTACCATCAGGTAATCCGTCTGCTGTATTAAGTTTACCTCGATCTCCATGACATCGATGAAGTCTCTGAACTTTTTAGCTGGTTTCAATCCACACAGGTGCCTGTAGTCGTTGTAACCACGCACCCCCATATCTCTCCCCCTTTGAATATCCAAAGCTGGTAAGTCATGGGCTTTTTGGAGTTTTCCATAGTAATTTTCTGATATCTGTAACGAAATAAAAATACATTGCACTGTCTTAAATTTCTGAAGTGAGAAAAAAAGTACTTCAGATTAATTTTGATTCTATCGGAGTCTGTTTTTAATTATACATTAGTAATTGTTTTGTTTCATGAGGAGGCTAAAATATGCAGTAGTAGTAGTATTAAATTTTATAGTAGACAAGTTACTAGAAATCACAATTCAGACATAGTATCTAATATATAACGGGCAGAAATTTGTAATTTTGTAACTTTATTTATGCCTCCGAAAGTACATCAAACCATCTGATCTGAAGTCTAAACCTTAAACGATTTAAAATGCAGCCTAAACCTAAACAAGAAACCCTTTTCATCGGGTTTTAATATTTATTGAATTCTGGTTAATCTTCAGTTGACATCCGAAATCTGACTTCCCCTTAAATATTACGTTGTACGGTTGTATGTATTTTTTGAATGCATTTTTATTTAGAAAAACGTTAATTAAAAACTATAAAGAAATATTCAAAAATATGGATCAATTCACACTAAGAATAGAATATTTTGTTTAAGATCAACTTACATCTGGATCCTGAATATCGTCAAGTTTGGCGGCGTATTGATGGAACAGACCTCGGTTGAGTTCTTCGAAAATTAGTCCTTTTTCTAGAAGACCTGATCTAAACATGGTTTCGCTGTACGAGTATTCGTCCTTGTATTGGTAGCTTTCAGAGTAGGTTCTTGAAATAAAATGAATAAATTTTAATAAAATCATTACTAAATTTAAAACTGACGATAAAAAGAAAAAATAATTTAAGTACAGTTGTGCAAAGAACAACACCAAAAAAGAAATGACAATCAATTGGTCCTATTTAGACTTCTATGAAAAGAACAACTTTACAAAACTTGACAATAAATTTGCCAAATTCAAAAGTGGTAAGAAATAATGTAATTTAGTTTTTAATAGTAACTATCGTGATACATACTGAATTTATCGAAAGTAACGACTTGTTACCGTGAACTAAGTCGCGAAAGAAACGCTATTCTATTGGCTTGGGCTGCGTGACGTCACCGCGACGCGCACGCTGCTCATGAATGAAAAAACTAGTCGAGCCCTTCACAGTTAATTCACACGAGTAAGTCTTTATTTTCAATGGCAGTTTGGTTTTCGCATTTCTGTTTATTGTTGTAAAGTACTAAAATGTCCGCTTACTTGACCCGTCCTTCAAGGAAAGTGTGGAAGTATCTGACAGCGATGTCGTACTCCGCGTACACGAGGGGCACAGCTTCAGCGTCGTACGTCGTCACATGCTCCACATTTTCTGATATAACTCCGTAGTTCACCATGTTTCTAAAACCTATATTGTACATAAAATAAATATTAAAGTTACAATTTCAATAAAAAAAAGGTCATATTTCCTAAACATTATATTGTTAATATATTTTAAACGTTTCCTCTAATATGATTTTCTCCTGTGACAACATCACGCCCAGACACGGACAACAATTTTTAAATCACCCAAGTTATTCCGTACCGGAATCGAAACCGCAACACGATGCGCCGCAGCCAGTTGTTTTAAATATTCAAACAATATGTTAACAAATTAATTGGTATCCTATTACGATAAAACATTATGTTGTCAATTCAAAAATAATCAGCTTCTATTTTATTTTACAATTTCTTATTTTGAAAACAATTTACTTACGTCACATGACATATTACTGTCTCAAGTTACTTCTGAGACGTAATTTTGTTTTGTCTGTTCACTTACTTTGATCAAAAACCACATTATCGTACACTCTCCTTTGTTTCATATCATTCCTCTTCCATCTTTTCTTTGGTAGAAAGATCAAAGGATTTCATTGTAAAACGCTCGTCACTAATAAATTACGATGGTACAACAATTCAGTACTTTGTTTTACGTTTGTTTTCTATAGATGGAAGGTTTGATAACAAGATGTAATTAACAAAAGCTAATAAACAAAAGCTGAAGTCGAGAAATTCAATTAATTAAAAGTTTATGCCGTTGACAATATTCATGAAGTAAAGAAAACTTCGAGAGAACTGTAAGCTTGAGACTTACCCAATAAAGCAGGTAGCAACTCATACATGAAGATGTTGGAAGCCGTTGCAATGTTGATCTGCCGAGCTACTTTGAACAGACGGTCGTCTTTCCAACAAGGATTTATTTTGTGAAGAGCCCGAGCTAATCTATTGTGTTCCCTCATAAAGAATATCGTTAAAGCCGTCGTTCGAAGGTCGTAATTACCGACTTCTGGGAATCCTGGGAATACAATAAATATTCATTGTGATTAATCAAAACAGCTGTTCATTTCGGAGTCTAAGGAAATTGTGTACATCAAGTAATATACATTTAAATTAGTTTTAGAAAAACGATAGGTAATCAAATTTTGGTATCTATATTTGTACTTACCGAATTTGTAACATATAGTTTCAGTATCATTGTTTTGTAAACAGATTTTTTCTGTCGCATTCGGTATAAGGTTGGTCACCATATTCGTCACCATATCGACCATCGAATTTGCCAATATATTAGCAATCGTATCCACCAGTCCGTCAGCGGTCATATTAATCAACAGATGACTACTCATGTTCATCTGTTTCGTAAAATTTGACATTATATTTGGCATCAAATCAAGCACAATATCGTTGTAATTATCAGGCATAACTTCAGGCATCATGTTAGGCATATTAGGAGCCATACTGCCCAACATGTCAGACGACAAGTTGGCCAATAAATCGGTGGTCATATTAGCAACTGTATAATTTTTATTTATCATTGTCATTGTTAGTTTTATCATCATATCGTCTTTTATATTTGAAATGATATTGTTTTTCATGTCTTGTAACATTTCAGCTGTAATATAAGTTTTGTTGTATGTTATGTTTGCTGGTACATAACGGTTGTTTCTGTTCTCAAGTACCAAAAGGCCATGTTCATATTTTCTTACTTTAGACAGTCCATATGCATCAACTCCGTATATTGTGGAAAGGTCTATCACTGGAGTTTGATAGTTTATCTGAAATTTAATAATTAAGGTCTACAACTGAGAGTCAATGATTGAAACCTAGAGGGAAAAATAATAATATTATGTAGACGGTAGAAATATTTTATTACCGTATTTATTAGTGTTCAAATCTCAATTTAAATACACAATAAATTTAGTTTATTCGCTATACCATGTTAAATAATTCTGTCTGATAGAATTATAAACGGGTTTATAAAAACCACTCAGATAACAACATTATCTTATAAAACTAATGACTGCTTATGTGTTTATCCATATTATTCCATATATGCATGTTTTCAGAGTTGAAAAGGTTGTAAAAACAGCCACTCAGACAGCGACAATACCCCACTCTTCCCCGTGAAGGGAAGCGAACGATCATCGAGGGCTGATGGTAGGTCTACCACCGCCCGCCTCACGCTCAGGGCACCGCGCCACATCTCATCAACGTGACTGGTGAGGACTCACATAGTGTGAAAGTCTCGAGAAGAGCTTACTATAGAAATGATCCTATGAAGTAAGGTCTTAACTGTCGCCGCCGAACCGACGAGGGTCATTCTCTCGCGGAGAATCTTAACACCGCGATTCACAAAATGACGTCACGGCACAGTGACATCTAGTGGCTCGTCGCAAAACTTGTAGGGCAATAATTAATGTTGACAGTTGATTTGTTTTAAATAAAAGTTTCAGTTTTTCCCAAAGAGTAAAGTAATAAAGGAGTAGGTTTTTCCTTTACTTAAGTTTTGAATGATATCACATATTATATATAAGAATACATTATGTACAGCATTGTATGTTTCTTTATAATCGCGTATAATGGTAGCGACATCTGGTTTTTATTTGCTGTAACTGATAAGTATAGATCAATATGGCGTCTCTGATAGCTGCGCAGGCGCTTCGTGACATAAGCGAAGGTGCAGTGTGTTCACGACGATAAGGTCTATATCAGCTTGTTTGGTGAAATAAAACTTTTTAATACGTCTTAACTCAAAGGATATTTATTGCACACTGCCTTCTTTACAATTTCCTTTAGATGAGTGGACTGTATGAACGTAATTTGTGTGTGTGAAGTATGACTGTGTGCGTGAAAGGTTGCCACTAAGTTAATGTGAACTTAATCTATTTAGACATACCGCCCACCAAAGGACGTAGTACTTTATAAACATAAAAAATATCGATCTACAAAACACAAAAAGCATAAATTAAAGATGTAGAACACATCAAAATGTACATTGTGAGTACCTACTTATGTCTAACAGTCGTTGTATAGGTGTGTACCTATTACATTACATTTACATTACAAGTAATACTGGTATGTTCTTAAATGTTATACTTAAAAATAACATGCATAGAAAATATACGTTCAATATTTCAAAATTTTCCGTAACGTTCAAAATTTTAAGTGTTAACGTTTTTACAATGACGAGAGAACTCCGCCCACCGTGACACAAAAAACAACATTTAAGCAACAAAATGCTTATTAACGATTTAGAAAACAAAACCTTGCATAAAAATGTTACAAAGAAGAAATAACATTTGTAGTATAAAAGTTATAATACAATTTGTGTATTTTAGATAACTTACATTTACGGTTCTTGATTATTGGTAATAAGGTACAAGGTTGGTAGGTGTATTGTAACATCATATAATTTAAACATTGTAATAGTAAGTTAGTAAGTAAACAATAAAATTCACTTAGGTAATAAACATAATTTACTAATGGGACGTTTAAATTCGCCATTCTTACATTTAACAGATACAACTCGTGCAATATTGTCTGGCCCTAAATATTTTTTAGTTATTTTCCCTAAAATCCATTTAGCAGGTGGGATATTATCATCTTTTAAAATTACAACATCACCAACTTCGGGTTCAAATTTTTTAGTGTTCCATTTGTATCGCTGATTAAGATTTACCAAGTACTCCCTATACCAACGTTTCCAAAAGTTATTTACTATTTTTTGTGTTAATCTCCATCTATCCAATCCTACAATGTTATGATTAGAATTATCTTCGTCGGGAATACTTATCAACGGTTCACCTATGAGGAAATGTCCGGGTGTTAGAGCTTGAGGTTCGTTAGGATCATCACTCATTACTGTGATTGGTCGAGAATTAAGACAGGCTTCGACCTGTGCCAAAACAGTAGACAATTCCTCATATGTGAGTGTGCTATCTCCAATCACCTTAAATAAATGTGTTTTAACGCTGCGAACTCCAGCCTCCCACAGACCACCAAAATTAGGGGAATGCGGAGGTATGAAGTGCCATGTTGTGTGCTCTAAGCTCAATAACTCCTCAATTTCACGTGGCACAGTTGACTTAGCTCGATCGAACATCTCTCGAAGCTGTCTGTTGGCACCAACAAAATTAGTGCCGTTGTCGCTGTATAAATCTTGACAGTGCCCTCTTCGTGCTGTGAAACGCTTAAATGCTGCAATGAACGCCTTTGATGACAGATCGGTTACTACCTCTAAATGAATGGCTCGAGTAACCATGCAAATAAATAAACAAATATATCCTTTATAGGATTTCGACCCTCTACCGGGTGAAAATCTTACACTAATAGGCCCCATATAATCACAACCAGACGATTTAAAAGGTCTGGTTGGTTTCAACCTAACATCTGGGATTTGACCCATCAGTTGGGTGCTTTTAGACCTAGAATACCTTAAACATTTTACACAGGATCTGTAGTGACTTTTAACTATTTCTTTCGCTCGTAATATCCAATATTTCGTTTTTAAATAGCACAACATAGCTTGTGGTCCACCATGAAAGGTTTTGAGATGAGCATCACTAACTATAAGACTGGTAAGATGGCTCTTAGCAGGCATAACTATGGGATGCTTCGTATCATAAGTTACTTCTGACTCATCAATACGACCACCAACTCTTAGTATCCCATTTTCATCAAAAAGGGGATAAAGAGTGCGAAGCTTACTTTTTTTTGGGACTGAATTCTTCAGCTTTAACTGGTTTATCTCTTCACTAAAATTCTCTCTTTGAACTTGTTTGATACATATAATTAAACTCCTATCTTTCTCTGCCGGTGTAATAATATTCGCATATTGTTTTCGTTTTTCTTTTGGTAATCTTAAATTCTGTAAAACTCTTCTCCAATATGAAATAGCCTTTAAGGTTTTGGCAAGTGATGAAAACATAGTCCAGATGAATTTATTTTCCAATACAGGTAAAGCAGTTAAAGATGTGTGTTTTTCTTCTTCATGAGTGTCCTCGATAATATCTGCGTTATCAAACTCTGTACTTCCTTGTGAAAGCCAAGAAGGCCCTGACCACCATAATGAATGATCAAGTAAATCCTGTGTAGCGATGCCTCTCGAAACACAGTCAGCTGGATTCGAATCAGTTGTAACATGCTTCCATTGTCTGTAGTCTAAAATATTTAGAATTTCTGACACACGATTGCTCACAAAAGTAGTCCAGCGGCTAGACCCTCCTCTCAACCAGGCTAGAACTATTGTTGAGTCGGACCACGCATACAAGTTCTCTTTCGGAATGTTCATTATTTGTGAAACCTCAAATATTAATTTTGCTGCTAGAGCTGCACCGCATAGTTCTAGTCTAGGAATTGATATCTCCTTCTCAATAGGAGCAACTTTGCTTTTTGCTGATACCAAACTCACAAATGTTTCTTTGTTATTATTAATAACACGAATGTATACAGCAGCACCATAGGCTACCCTTGAAGCATCAGCAAATGCATGCAACTCAACCTTTGACCCTGGACTAAAACAATACCATCGTGGTATGTTTATCTTATGTAAATATATCAAACTTTCTCTAAACTGTAACCATTCACTCGTTAAATCTGCAGTCAGTACATCATCCCAATCAAGCTTCAACCTCCATAGTTTTTGAATAAATATTTTTGCTTTGATTATCACGGGCGCAATCCATCCTAACGGGTCGTATAGTCGGGCCACATCTGACAATACTTGCCGTTTAGTAATAGGTTGTTGAATGTCGGGTAAGTCTAGTGAATACTGAAAGCAATCCATATTCTTATTCCATTTTAAGCCTAATACCTTCATGACAGTAGTTGATTTTAATCTTAATGAATCAGCACTGCTGTGATTATCCTCTCCTATATGTGTCAATAAGTCTTGATTATTGCTACTAAATTTTTGCAGTTCGAAGCCACCACTGTTCATCAACTCGTTCATTTCGTTATATATGTGTATAGCCTCTGGTAGTGTCTCACAGCCCGTCAGCAAATCGTCAATATAAAAATCCTTCTTTGCTATGCTTGATGCAGTAGGAAACCTTGCACGTTCTACATCAGCTAACCTTTGAAGGGTTTTCACGGCTAAATAAGGAGCACATGCAGTACCAAAGGTCACACGCAATAATTTAAAATGTTGTAGTGGCTCGTTTGTTTGTGGTCTCCATACAATTCTTTGGAAGTCTGAGTCCTCGGAATCGACTTTTATCATTCTGAACATCTTAATGATATCGGCTACTATGCAAATCCTGTGGCATCTCCAACGCATCAGGATGTGTCTCAAATCCTGTTGTAACTTAGGACCCACCATCAGATTATCATTAAGTGAAAAGTTGTTCAATCCTTTACATGACCCATCAAAAACTACTCGCACTTTTGTGGTGTCTTTATCTTCTCTAACCACAGCGTGGTGCGGGAGATAAACCGCCTTAGGATTATCTATGTCTTCTTTATTTATTGGTATCATGTGATTCATTGCTAGATACTCTTGTAGAACATTGTTATATGTTTCCTTTAAAGTAGGATCATTCTGCAGTCTATTTTCTAAATACTTATATCTTCTTGTAGCTATAACTACTGATTTTCCATATTGACATTCGGGATCTTCTTTATTGAAAGGCAGCTTAACTATAAATCTTCCTTCTTTGTCTCGTGTAGTTGTCCTGTCATAAAATTCTTCACATCGTTGTTCTATGTCTGTCATCTTCTTCTGTATCAAGTTGGGCTCATTTTCCATTTCCCAAAATTTCCTAAGCAGTTCTTCTCCACTTAGGTGTAAATGCATGGTGATTATTCCATTGTTAGCAGAAGTTGAATTTTGGGACACCCTTCCTGATAATACCCAACCCAGGGTAGTGTTTTGTGCCAATAATTTATTGTGACGTATAATACCATCCAATAAAATCTCACTATATACCTCTGCTCCAAGAAGAATATCTATTTTACTAGGTGTGGCGTAACCTGGATCAGCTAGCGGTATTTTATCAAAATGTAGCCATTCAGGTGTATGTAACTTGGTTGAAGGAAGCAATGAGGTGACAGAACGCAAAACGTATGCATTTACTTGGATTGAAACCTCAGGGTTATGACGTGATACCACTCGAAGAGAAACCATGTGCTTCACACTAGTGTGGCCATTACCGCCTATCCCGGAAACTGTACCGCTAACATGGTTACGTGTAAGTCCAAGTAATTGAACAACTGATTCGCTTACAAAAGACGCTTGCGACCCTTGATCTAATAATCCTCTCAACTGTTGTTTTTGTCCATGCTCACTGTATGCCCAAATAGATACAGTAGCTAACAAAACACGACTCGGTTCTAAACCTCTACTCGAAAAATTAGTTGAAATAGATGTACTCACGGATTTGTCCGACTCACTCTGCACCAAAACGTCCTCACTCGTTGATTCACTGCTCACCTCCTTTTCAAAATGTAATAATGAATGGTGTCTCCTGCCACATCGCTTGCAACTCGCTGAATTACGACATTTAATAACTGGATGAGATGGAGAGAAACAATTAAAACACAAGTTATTATTTTTAACATAATCTTGCCTTTCCTTGACACTAAGTTGACTAAATTCCTTGCAATTGTATAAATAGTGTTCACCTTTACACTTAGAACATTTAGTAGTTATATTAGAATTATTCTTTTTACTTTCTATGGACCCATGAAAAGACTTCGACTTTGTGTTGGCATTGTTACGTACCTTATTGGAGTCTATCATCTCCAACGACCTAAATTTCGATTCCAAAAACTCGGATAATTGTGTCCATGTCGGTAAATCGTTACTAAGTACTCCTAACTGATATTCCCACTGCTTAATGGATTCAGGATCTAATTTAGAAACCACTAAATAAATAACAAATGCATCGTTAATTGACTCAGGACTAATACTCATATTACGCAAAGATTGTAAACAAGTTGTAGTTGTATCTAATAAATGCTTAATAGCACTAGGAGATTCGCTAGTAACCGGTTTTTGCGTAAACAATAATCTCATAAGTGCATTACAATTATATCGCTTATTATCATAACGTTTAAGTAACTGTTTCCAAGCCTCGTCATAATTCTCATTAGTTATAGAAAAATTACGTAACAAAATTTCCGGCTCACCTGACAGGTTACTTTTAAGATAATGCAATTTTTGCACTGGAGATAAATTCTTATTAGTATGCACAAGGGAATTAAACATATCATAAAACGACTGCCATTCAACGTATTTACCACTAAACGTAGGTAACTGCACACGTGGTAATTTAACCTCGCACTCACTGACTGTTTTTTCAGCACTTATTTTCGGTGTTACGGACGAAGTTCCACTCAATGACGCGAGGTAGGGCTGCAGGGCTTCTTTCAATGAAGTTTTGTATGATACATATAATTCCTCAAACACCTCATACATATCCTCAGTGAAGTATGTGTCCTGTTTGTCCTTCAAGGTGACCTTGCCTATGAGAGACCTGTGTCCATCTTTAAACGTTATCCACAGCTGCTCCAAATTGTCTAATCTGGTTTCTAAGTAAGGTTTCTTCAACCGATCTTTTGGTGTTTTTTTATAGTTTTTTTCCGACTTCTTTAAGTTATCCAGCACTTCCTTTTGATATGCCAGAAGCGCATCCATGGTGAACAATGTGTAGACGTTGAAACTTGTAAATCCAAACAGTATTGATATAGATTGGAATTATTATTTTGCTAATGATGTATTATTTACTCGCACGATTTAGCAAAGATAATTTCTGGAATACTATTGTTCTCGCGGTGTCGACTGCGCACGCGGTCTCATAAATCCGTCTCGATTTGGACCATATGTTCACGGCGATAAGGTCTATATCAGCTTGTTTGGTGAAATAAAACTTTTTAATACGTCTTAACTCAAAGGATATTTATTGCACACTGCCTTCTTTACAATTTCCTTTAGATGAGTGGACTGTATGAACGTAATTTGTGTGTGTGAAGTATGACTGTGTGCGTGAAAGGTTGCCACTAAGTTAATGTGAACTTAATCTATTTAGACACAGTGTGTGTAAGTTTCTAAACTCTTTTGAAAACTATGTTTTTTCTTTATTTTGAAAACTATTGAAATTAAATCCACAATATTGTACCTATGTTGTTATTACAAGTGCGGAGTAGCGTGGTAGTAAATATATTTTTAATCCAAATTTAAGATTGTGTATTTTTCCATAAATACTTTCAAATCCTAAATCATGAAAACCATTAATGTGGTTTTAATGAAACTTCGTACTTATATGCAAAATAAAAAGGTCTAATTTATAAAGACTAAGTACATTTTGATCAATAACAATATGTACTTGGTTTGAACTTAATAGTACTTATGTATTATACATATGATAACTGTGCCGCGTGCTAGTTCTAAAATAAATTTCTTCTAATCTTTGAAAAAAATTCCTAAAATAATAATTATTTCTACATTTATAGGATAACAATGAAATAAACAAATTATATGTTATAATCTATACTAATATTATAAAGAGGTAAAATTTGTAAGTTTGTATGTAGGGGGTAATCTTTGGAACCGCTGGTCGGATTGCCGAAATTCTTTCACTGATAGGTAGCTACAATGTTCCTGAGTGCTATAGGCAGTATAGGCTATAAAACATCACGCTACGATTAAATGGAGCCTAGCAGCGGGTGAAATCGCGCGAGATTAGCTAGTAATACATACATATAATAATACATATAAAGCAGGATGGTTTTTGTTTCGCTATTAATGCGAAAAATTCCCTACCGAACCCATTCAGTTTAAATATTTTAAACTCAGCTCTGAATCTAATATCTTTCCTTTAGAATCTACCTATTTATTTTTTTATTGAAGCAGTAAAATTTTATTTGATATTGTCTTTATTGAGTATATAATGGCCTTAATAAAAATGGCTGCCGAAAATATAAGAATGAACAGCGAAAAGAAAATAATGATTGAGACGCTTACTTTTGATATTATTTTTTCAATACATATTATTCTTATAGGATTTTTTTTGTTAAGTAATTAATTATATTATATTGTCTACATTGACATAGCTAAAAATATGTTATCTCTATTTAAAATCATTGCAATATCCGCTAAACGGTACATTTTAGTTAATCTATAAAAAAACCATAATGGTGACAGTTGAGAGATCTGATGATAAATTCATCCTATTGACATAATTATTGAATTTATTTAGATGACATCCCTTTTCAAATTTCATTGTTACTAAATGCGAACACTCGTCACTCCGTAATCATAATCATTATCAGCCGGAAGACGTCCACTGCTGGACAAACGACACTACACCTTAGTTGTCCACGTCAAACGACACTCTCTTCGCACTTCATTTAGTACGTTTTAAATACTGCCTTATGTAAGTACTTCACTGTTTCTCATTCAACCGACAAATATTACTACAATATCTTGTACACACATAAATATGCTAGTTACATATTAGAAAGAAAATGATAGAAAGCCAATCTTAATCAAGGGAGAGATTTGAGCACCGTGAACTGACTGCGCCAAGCCACTTAATATTGAAACGCTTACATCAAACAGAAGTTCAAACTGAGATCATTTTCACACGTATCTGAGAACTTATGCAGAACTTTGTAACTTCAAGTGTACTAACCTGTTCAGGAAGTATTATTTCGGGTGTACAGCCGGCGTCTTGGAAAGTTTCCGCTCTAGAGAAGTTTAAGCAGTGAATATCAGTCACTTTAAGATAGGGGTCGTGGTGGGGCACATGTATGGGGATACATCTCGGATCCTTCTCCCCTATCGGGGTACAGCAATATTGCCTTCGCTTGAGGTAGTCAACTGCAAGTAATCGTTTAAAATAATTTGTAGGAATAAGCATGTTAATATTGTTGCATTGTAGAATGTCAATAACAAGCTACCAAGGTACTTCGGTGCATCGAAAGCATTGATCATCCGTCTATTGGTGATCTTTGACTTTGCCCCAAGAAGGTTATATTCTTTTTAATAAGTAAAAGCTAACCTGATTCTCCTCCTAAATTCAAATGTTATTAATTAGTATTAATGCTATTATATTAAAATCTTTTTATTGGTCATACTAACTTTATAAACGCTAAAATATTTAGGCAATAATGGAGGAATGTGGATGGATGGATATTTGTTGCTCATTTACATTCAAACTACTGAACGGATTTTGATTAACATTGAAACAGAGAAAGATATAGTCTAGAATTAGACATCGGCTACTTTTCAACCGGGTAATAAAGGAGCGAAGCAACAGACAGAACTTTGTCTTATACACATAGTTATAAGATCTATACTTACATGGCCCATCCATAGCACTGATATCCCTATGTATGAACTCCATCATGTGGACAGCAGCTACATTGAACGTGAACTTATCTTCGACTCGGCCAGTGGTGTGCAGTTCCGTCCTGACCTTCCGGGCTGATGGTAGCGGCTTGTTGTGTCTGTTCATGCGGATATGACGATCTGGGGATGATAAAACCGATGATAATGGTATGTAGGTTTGTTTGTAAGATCGCTATGCTAGCTGGTGGATGACATTGTTAGGTTAAGCATAGACATCAACCATTAAAGGTGCTGTTTATTTTTTGTTCAAATACTGAGAAAAGTAGATCGAATCTAACATTGGTATAACTTTTTAAAAATTAGAATAGTAGAATGTGAGTCACGGTTTAAGATTGTGAATATTTGGAATGAATATTTTATTATTTACAAAAATAATCTACACTACAAAAATACATTAACTACGTAGGTACTTAATTGACTTCTTAGTCAATTTAGTTGTAGGTAAATCCTATTTTTATAGTTGCCAAGTAATTTAAAAAAAAGCTGTTTGCTGTTATTATCATTTCATTTTTAAGTATCTACCTAAGTGTTTTCGTACCAGTTTTTAAACTTTTTACATAGAAGTTAATAATATAAGTGGACAGCGACAAAACTTTGACAACTTCCTAGGGTAGTCATTCATTTTTTATTTCACCTTTTATAAATGCAAATCAATTTTGTAAAGTACAGGCATTCATTTCTTCATTTTTAGACCAGGAAATAGGCATCCGAGGAACAAATTTTATATTATTATTAACTCAAAAAAGAGGTTAGATATTTTCGCAGAGGCCGCTTCAAAATTTGTTTAAGTATTGATTTAAGCTCGAAAACTGTGGTACCACCAATTAAAATACCTGGAATATTTAATTTCAAAATACTCACATCTATAGGAAACGTGTATGAATGTCACAAAGTTTCAACAAGTAAGTATCACTTACCGTTGGCATAATCTGGCTTTAAGAGTCTCAGATACGGTCCTTTCGCGGATCCCCTGGTTGGGTACTTGTAATTGTTACACGTGCCATCGACCCGGCTGCCTTCATGAGGAGTACATGGCTTCACCTCTATCGAGCATCGCCTAGAAATATCCGAATGGAACAATCATTAAATGACACTTTTAAACGATAGATGATAATTAGCCGAGCTTAATTAATAATCGTTTCTTTTTGAGGGAAAATCATTCTTCTACTTTCTTTCCCACCCTTGGCGGGGCGACAGAGAGACTTCCTACATAATATTGTATCTAACACTTTCAAGGTCAAAATTAATAGCAGATCTTAATTTATTAATAATTACTTTTTTGAGGGGGGAACATCATTTAGTGACCTCTCTCCTGGCGAAAAAATACCCCGTTGCCTTTTTTTTCTGTAACCCTGGCAATTATTAACTTCTAGGTCTATTAAAAATTTTAACTTCTAGGTCTATTAAAAATTTTGACAACTCTAAAATTCATGAGATTAAAAAGTCAAAAATCAATATTCATCCAAAAATATTTGGTTTAGATCCGTACGTGGTCTACGGACAAGAAAATTCAAAAATCCATTCTGTTTACAATGTCAAACGAATAAGTAAGTAATCTGTACCGCCCTTTATTCTCTTTATTATCATGACACTAGAATGTGACGTGACAAAAGCCAAGCATACAATACACTTTCGAGTAGGTATCAACATAATAGTCAAACACATTTTTTTAGGATAGTAAATTACACAATAGGTACTTACTCTGTGGCATTCTTCAATCGCAGCTCCTTAGCTTGAGCAACTTCGACCTTTTTCCCAGAATATCGATCAAAATGTCCGGCTTCCACTCGATAAACCACAGTAAGGATATAAACAATAAAAAAATATTTCATTTTCAACACGACGTCCTCACAATGCCCTTCGTGAAACACTAAACAGGAGCAAACTACAACGTTTTGTAATCCTAAACATGTTTCACAAACTGAATCAATCGATTATTTCTTTCCTGTCGTGAATTTAATAGAGGATGTCGAAAAACAATTCATTACAATCCTTCTTTACAAAATATTCGATATTGAACAATACGGATGTTTACGAACTGTTAATTGGTTTATTATTTTCTAAATGTGAATTACCTGTGACCATTTTCCGATGGCCTATGCATCATTATACTTACATGTATTTCTAATGTTATGTGTATCTTTTCATAATAACTTAAATAAGAAAATAAACTTTATTACTTTCACCATTAATGTGTCTACAAGGATCCCAGTTTTGAAATAGGAATAGGAAATAGGAATAGTTTTTTGTATCATAAATATTCTTATATCTATATATCTGTATATGATAGCATGTACATATATATGTACATTCGTTTTTTGCCGCCAACAACGAGAATCAAGTATGTGTGTGCAAAAAAATACAACGATGCTGTGACTGCACTGTTCCGTGACGCGCCTGTAACAATAAACATATAGTGCATAAAACTCATATTTCAGCAAAGCAATGTGTTAATTCGTAATCAACTATCAACCAATCAAACGTCAGTAAACCTAAAGTTATGTTATCAAATCAAGTAATGATAGTAACATTGAAGTATTACAATAATGAATACTAAGATTTAAAAATAAAAAATCTTAAGCCTATACATATTAATAAACTACATTACACATATCCGACTGGACATTGGCCTCATGGGCCCCATCTGTGGACGGTTGAAACACGATCCTACCAGATGGTCTGGTTCTGTCGGTGACCTACCCATGCACGCCGTACGCAAACCCGCGCTCATGGTGCCCGTGGATTGCTGCACGAACCCCGTCGCTTGGAATGTCTCCTGCGGTGGCTGAAGCTTGATAGTTCCCTCACACATTCTCTCTTCTGACGAGAGCATGGTTATTTTGCAGAAGAAGGCATCCCAGTTCATTCGGCACCATATGGTCAGTTTCACTAAAATCTATTCCCCATGTCTTGTATTACCCACAACTAGATACCACTGTAAAAGCATACGATACATACATTATAAGACAATGAACTGAAGTACATATCTATTCACGTCTTAGAGAGACATACAATACCTTTCATAACAGCTCAACTAAACTTTAGTTCATAACTATGGCAATTTATAAATCCCAATCTAAATATAAATTGAAGAGAATTAATTTAAAAACAAGTCGAGTTTTATTTATATTCGAATGCAGACTCAACCGCGTTGTATCTCTGAGCAAAAAAGTTTTAATGAGTTTCTTTTACTTGGGTTGCAGGTACTGACTGTTCGGTGTAATGAGAGGTCCCTCCCATCTGGGCAAACATTCCCGAGGTTTAGGCGAAGCTAGGGTTGTCGTTTGTTATGTTGATTGAAATATTGCTTCGGTGATCTTTTGATGAGAATGGTAGAGTAAAAGAATTTTGGTTTAAACAGTCCAAGGTATCGCGTCCAAACTGGCGATCGGAAAGTAATTAGGGAAGGTCTATGTTTAGAGGGCGGCTTCTAGCGGAGATGATGATGACAATGACGATAACAAAATACTTATTGTTAAGCAAACGCTCTTGTTTATTCTTACAAAGTTATCTATTCCATATTTAAACTATTTTAAAAGGAAAAAAAAAACTTTTAAATATAAAAATGCTATTATACCCACAGATAGAAAAGAAGTTGGTGTGAGGAATAAACAAATTATTTCATCAACACCTAACAAGTTACCTACCTACATTAATCTGTTTACAATTATGTATATTATCATTAAGTTATATTTAATCTCGCCTCGTTTTTGGAAGTCAATAAAAAATGTATATACAATTAAGCTTTTATTAATCCGGCCTTATCCTAAATCGGAGTCAGGAAAAAGCTGACTCCTACGCCTTGTTCTTTTATAGTTTTTCTTGATTTAATTTTATTAGTTCCCTTTTTCCTTTCTTACCAACGAAATCGTAGTTTAATTTGAATCGTAGTTTCGCCGTGTGAGTCAGGTTACCTGAGGCCCAATCCTTTTCCTCCCCAATCCCTAAATCTCCAAATCCTAAAGGTCGGCATCACACTCATAACTCTCTGTTGTTGAGGGCCGTACTGATTGCTTCTTTAGGTAATCCGTCTGCTCGTTTGCCGACTTATCACAAAAAAAAAATACATCTCGAACAGGGTGGCCTGTTCGTGAGATTTCTTTTGGAATATCTTCAACTCCTGAGATATCTTGTAATATCTTTAACATTCAAATTAATATAATGCCGAGTAATCTAAGTAGAAGAAAATATGGATGAAACAGCTGTGAATAAGTATACCTAGTTGAAACGTAACAAGCCGAAGCAATTTGTTTCTTTGGAATATCTTTAGAAGTGATTTCATTAGTATCTGTATTATATATGGCGCCATTTTAATTTTTATAGCGAGTTGTTCAATTAATGATTTCTTTAAGTTAAATGTCATTAAGTTGTTAAAATGAACAATTATGATATAATTCAGATTTTCTGAATCTTTTTATGATTGCAAAGATAGATAGTTGAAAGGGAACCGTTTGTCTTGGTATGGCCATGTGAAAAGGAGGGATGAAACGCATGTTACAAAAAAAGCCATGAGTATAAATGTGGATGGATGGAGATGGAGAGGGAGACCAAAGAAAATATGGATGGATTGTGTGAGAAGTGATATGGAAGACAGAGGAGTTAGCCATAGCGTGACGAGTGACAGGACAGAATGGAAGAAAAAAACATATTGCACCGACCCCAAATAAAACGGGACAAGGGCAGGAAGACGATGATGAAAGATAGATAGTGTGGGAGAGCTATGTCTTGGTATCGACTCGACTAGAGTCATAACACGGCCTTACAGAAAACGGGCGTGAAATAACGCGTTGTGTTCCGGTAACCACATTCGCACAGCGTTGTGTTTCGCCATGTGAATGAGGTATTTTAGGGGGCCCAAGCTTTCCCCCCCATCTAATCTTTGACTGCACGGTTGGCGCGGTGGCTGGGCAACTGGCTGCCTTGCAACGTGTCGCGGGTTCGATTCCCGCACGGAATAACTCTTTGTGTAATCCACAAATTGTTGTTCCGGGTCCAGATCCGGACACACCCAAGTGTGACGTGTATGTGAATTTGTACGTTTGTTGGCCCACGACACAGGAGAAAATCCAAGCGTAGGGTTTTCTTAAAAAAAAAATGGACGGCAATGCACGTAAGGCTTCTGGTGTTGTGGGTTTCCATGGGTGTTTTTTTTGCTCGCGCGCCCAGGTTAGGGCGGTAGGGAGATTCAGACTCTTACTGACTAAAACCCCCCTGTTCCTTCTCCTGCTATGGCCCGAAGTCGCGGTGCCTCATTGCGCTTACCCCGCCACCCCGGATTGGCAATTTCTTATCATCGGGTAATCCGTATGTTCTTTAAGATACCAATGTTTGTATCTAGTCTTATATGTTGAATGAATGTTTTATGTAGGTATATATGTTTATACATAAAACATTCCTATTTTGCATTTAGTACACAAAACCACACAAAACAATAGTACCTATTATCAAAAAATTTAACTAGAAACAAAAAATCTCATAATAAAAAGAATAACAAACCGAATAAAAAGAATCAAAACGAATTTTTATCAGGTAGTAAGAAATTAGAAATAATGTAACTTGGAATTGGTTGACGCTCAATATAAAGTCAAAGTGAATATACAGGGGCCATTTCATTTATACTGAAAGTCGTCGACAGTTTTCATTCGCCTTTCCTCCCTCATCTGAATTTTTACCTTTGAATACTTTTCGTTTTGTTGATCTCGGTCAAACAAGATCACAAATTGGACTCAAAATGGACTACGAATTCAAATGGAATTTCTTATTAATTTACCCTAGAATTAAATTTGAATGGCGGTAATAATTAAAATTATTTTTGAAATGAGTTCCTTAAAGCACAATGGATTAATCGCTCGTGGCTCTCAAGGGCCAGACTCTTAGGCGTAATGATTCGTTATCTTAAATTGTGAATTTACATAGTAGATAATGTTACGTTTACCTGCATATTATTAAATACCGAACACTACCGTTTTGCGAAATAAGCATCATCCTATACGTTCTTACTGCTGAGCAATTTAGCTTTCTAAAACGGAGAAGCTTTGAGCATTATCATTACTCTTGCCCAAAGCAGATTGACGATTTCAAACTAATAATTAGAAATTATAAGTCCAGATTTATTCACGACATTTTCCTGGTACTTGCCAGGTTTAGACTCAGCACTCTCATGCATGAGAAGTGGGCCTTAGACTCCACCCGACATTTACACAATTTAATTACTTAATCACTATTATTCGTAGCAAAACTATAAACATTTGTAGAAAATATAACTAATCACCTGTATAGGGTTAAGATATAGGACATTGCGTGTCTCGAATACAGTACGTTGTCAGCCGACAGACAGGTAGTAACCCCGTGACGGACAATGCAAATTCAATGACCACTCATGTGGTTGTGTTGGAGTATATTATGTTCGGCCGATTGAATACTGAACCGCTGTTTGCATATACGCTTTGGTATAGATAATATGGATGTGTTTGTTAAATACAGGGTCGAATTAGGCTGGAACGGCCCAAATAATGTTTAAAGTGTGGGGGTGTGAGGAATTTTGTTTATTCAATTATAGGTTACTTTGATTTAGTTGATATAAAATAGATGTGTTGGAGTCCTCCACAGGCTTAGTTAGGAACTTAGGAATGTTACTCTAACTTTTTGACTTTGGATCATAAGTTTAAGTACTTCAAATACGTTCGGCGCGTAGTGTTCCGCGCGCTCCTCAAAGAGTCAATAGACAGCCATCGCAATAAATCACCAGAGCCTCGGCCAACAGCAGGACAAGGAACGGGAGCGTTTTTAGTCAGTAAGAGTTCTGACTCTCCCTATTGCCTTAACCTGGGCGGGAAAAGGCATTTGATGATTTTCCCCTCACAAAAAAAAAACCCTACAAAGCTGGTGTCTCACGTGAGACTTTGCTCTCTATCCTATTACTAATTCTACTACTGATTAATCATGACTTACTAATTAGTAAGTAGGTGTTTCGTTGCTAGAATATTGTAAATAAACTGTAGGTAAATTTGACTAGTGCTGTGAAGACATGCTACAAAATATTTCGAAGTGCATCCAGTTCGTAAATGTTTGCCAATCTTCTATTACTTCTATCACCTCATTTTTCACGAATCAGTAAAAAATAAAAGATAGGGCACACTGCAAAGAAACTGAGCCTAAAACTCTGAAATTTTTGGGTTTATATTAATATTATAAATTTTGTGCCCGATACATTCTGTTCTCTACCCCAGAATTAAGTTGTAACTATGTTTAAAATTAATTTAATATAAACATGCATATCAATTAGGTAATCAAATGCAATAACTCAGTTTAAGGATAAAAGCTATTGATTTAATTAGTAGTCGGTTTTTTTCAGTGTATTGGCTAGCTACAATTATAATAATACTGCTACTATAAAAAACTTCGTGTACATTGCACCTACGGTACAGACAAATTAGAAATTTAATTCGAAGTTAAAATAAGGCAGGAATATATCGACATGCCTATTAATCGTATTATTAACTTTTAAATTCGTATTTCAAAAAGTTAAAATTCGGTATATTTTACATTGTAATTACATAAAATGTTTTCTCGAAAATAGGGTAGGTAATAGGGGGTTTTATTAATCCGATTTAAATTCACATTTTGCATTTGTAAAAAAATATTTTTGAAGTGGAAATAAATAAAATGTTTTTCTGTGTATAAAAATAATCACACATTTCCATAATGGAGTAGTAAACTAATAATAAAATTAATAGTTTTATTCAAAACAATAATCTAATAATAAGTATTATTACCAATGAACGAATATAAATGGAATGGCCAGTACTTTAGAAAATTCTCTAAAAAGATCGTAAAAAAATATTCCTAATTTTTACGCATGGCTAC